AACGGAGGATAGATACCTAAATATTTAAATATAATATCAAATCTAGAGTTATTAAACTACAGTAAATATAATTAAGGCTATAAACGTATCTATGAAATAGCGGTGGATACTGTTGTTATATCACAAAGGGAAGATTCATCAAATTATTCAATAATTTAATTTTCTAAAAAGTTACATGAAAATATTTCAGAATAAATGGACGTTATACCTAATTATTTAAATATAATATCAGATCTAGAGTTATTAAACTACAGCGAATGTATTTAAGGTTATAAACATATCCAAGAAATATTTTTATATTTCACCTCTTCTTTCACACAAATACAGTGAAATAGTTTTTTAAACAATGTTATTTCCTCAATGATTCGGTGGATTTTAATTACTTTTTTTCAAACTTAAAAACAAATTTAATAGTTGACATTTAGTAAGAAAATTCTATTTGGTTTCCTTGGAAACATGTGATTTACATTAAACAATGTTAGTTTTCTGAAATTATTATTTATATTTTTTTTCGTCACTATATGTTACCTTCTAAAACTTTATTTATTAGATATTATTTTTTTCTAAAATTCTCCGCTTTCCAATGATATATTATACATATACCTTCTGTCTAGTATTTCCAGCGATTCATTTTCGACCTGGATAAGCATTTTTATTTTTTTATACTTTATTCAATTATCAAATTCTTTCAAAAGTTATATTTAGCATTTTTTTTCGTAACTATTGATAATGAAAGATAGTTAATTATTACAAATAAACCATATTAAAGGTACTTTAGATGAAGACGAATCAAAATCATTAGAGCCATTTTTGAGAAAATTGTAAAAATGTGTTTCAGTGTTGATATAAAGTGGCACTTCTGGTTAGCCGATTTTAAGGAAAAAGTTACTAGAACATCTAAGGTATATACCTATCTTAAATACGTAATATCAAATTCGAACGAATTTTGGTTTTCTAGCTTGTGTTCACATACACACAGACCATTTTTCAGGACTTGGTTATTTGGGCTCAGGGTACCCCAAAATGTGTATTTCCGTTGAAAACTCAGATTCAAAAATTTTCTGGATCGCAATACTTACCCTTACTATATATTACATATATACATAAGTGAAAGATAAGAATAGACATAGCGTGTTATTAACCTTTTCGTGATACAAATACCAATAAATTCTTGTTAAGGATCACATTGTCAAAAACTGCATTAAGGCTACATATGTTACTAGAATCTTTAATTTCAGTTTCAAATGAATATCCCATAATCTTTTAAATTAGTTTAAGATAATTAGGGACAATATTGAATCACCTGATTAAATGAAAAATTTGTTTTATCTCTTTTATGAGAACTCTCTGGACAAACCTTGTGCATTAACTTCATTCAAAAATATTTATACCACTTTTTTGACTATTTTTATTTGTGGAAGGGATAGGGTCTTTTTTATTTCTTACTTGCCATTACAGTTTAAAACCAGTTTTTCATTTGATTTTTTTATAACAGAGCAGAGAATATTAATGTATATGAACCTACACTTTTATTTTTAAGCATTAAGTTATCCATCCAACTCTATTCTCTACACCATACTATGTCTATTTTGAACCAAATGGATGAATGGACTTTGAGCTATGATGCAACTACCTAATTCAGGAAGAGATATTACGGATATTTGGAATGAATATTGAGGTTTGAGAGAGAAACAATTTTTCATCACTTTTATAAATCATCTTGAAACAAGTTTAGGTTTTGAAATAACTAATCCAAATGGTCATATATAAATAAATAAATATTGGTGGACTTCCTCCCAAATAAACATCTGTGGCCTTGGCCCTCTCAATTCATGTATTTATACTATTATTTAATATTAATTAACTATAATTTTATTCTCAACAAATTCAGCTTAAAATCTCTTTCCCTTAATTTTTTTAATAAAAGGGAAAAAGAGTTTCAAAGAAAAATATCATTTCATGGTCGCTTGTTTATTTGATCGTGTTTATCTTAAAATGTGTGATTATTTCTCGATAAATTAACAGGTTGAGATTAATTAAACTAATATTGTACTTACTATGCCAGCGATTTTAATTGGTGAGGAAGAGAGTAAACAAAATAACAACACAACTTTTTATTGACAAAACTGTTCACGAAACAAACTGATGGGGTCAAACTATCTTAAGCTGAAATCTGCTAAGCATTGCCAACCTTTGAAACCTGAAAACTAATCATTTTCTCTTATGGAGAGTGTGGGTTTTAAGTAAAAGTGAGAGAGAATGGTTTATTGTTGAGAATGTGTTAATTAAAGCTAGCAAAACTAAGATTAGATATTTCGAATAGCAAATTATTAACTAAAAACCTTTCAGTTTAAAGGCAATCAAGTATTTAAATTTTAATCTAGAAATATCTGGATGTGGAGATTAACTTTGGTTGAGGAACAAGTGGGAGAGAAAATCTAAGGATTTATTTTCTTGTTAAAGTCATAAAAAAATGTTTGCATGCAAATATGTAATTGTTCATAAAAGAATAATATGCATGGAAACTATTTTTACTTTGCAGGTTTTAAAACTATATTGGTTTGAGATCTAAAATCTTTGGAAAATATCCAACATAGAATAGAATTATTTTATTTTATTTTATTTAGACATATAATATTCTGTCTCGTTGACAATGATTATAGTGATAAATGAACACATTCACACCATAGAATAAAATTGAAAATAAACTTTATTCTGGGACGATGTCCCTTTAGAATAACAATAATGAACACTTACAAAAGAAAAAATACATATCTGGCCCAAAACTAACTTAATGAAGAATCAAAGAATACATACAACAACTTAAACAATAGTATGTAAATGACTAAAAAATAAAATAAAATCTTCTCAAATATACTTATAATTGTATTCGAAAAAACAACAAAAAATAAATTAAAAAAAAAAAACAAAAAAAAGAGTTACACGTATAGAAAGAAAAACCAAAACCTCTAGAAAAGAAAAAATATCAAAAAAACTTAAATAAAAAGTATTGACTTTTTATGTTAAAACATAAACAACTAAAACATACAAAATATATAGCTAGTAAAGATATATTAATGACAGGATAAGCAACGAGATTACAATTGTATTATCCCGTCATAAGAGATATAAAATAAGAAAAAATAGATACATACAATTATGAAGAGGCATTAAATTAATTTTATGAGAAAACAAATGCGACAAAAAGAAGAAAAAATATAATTAAAACAAAACAAATTATTTATATATGTAATACAGTACGCAATGATATTGTAAACCATAAACAAACACGGATATTAAGATAGGAAAGATATATATATACATATATACAATTGATGAATCTAAAAAATGAAATACATTTAAAATATACATAATCTTGTAGATAAAAAAAAATGGATAAAAACAACAAACAATTCCTTATTCTTATGCATCACAGTGCTATGCCAAAAGTGATACTGAATCTTTCCAATTAATAAATAATAAACACAAACTAAAATAAAATAATGCTGCAATGAAAAAGAAAAAAATAAATAAAAAATTATCCGTGTTACATAATACATAATTAACAAGGATCTGATTGGATTGTGAAGAGGAATGGGAATAGAAGGATTTTGAATGTGGATAAGGATGGTGCATGGCGGATTTTAAGTGTGATGAAATTCCAAAAGGTGGTGGAGCAGACAGTAAAGGAATGTTGAATTGAAGCAGATCTATGGAAAGGGGTGTAAAGATCAGATGGACGAGATCTTGTGGAGTGGGAGTGAATAGATGATTTATATTGGAGGAGATTGTATACATAGGATGGGCGATGATTGTTGATTATTTGGTAAAGGAATGCGCCAAGGAAGTATTGTCTTTTGAAGGAGGGGAAGAGCCACCCTAATTGGGCATGCTAATGGGGAACACGGGAATGTCTCGGGATCGTTAAATTTGAGCTGTCAACCGAAGACATCCAAGTCCTTGGCCTGGTCGATTAAGACAACCTGATGGCCGTCGTCTTTTCGGCACCTCAATCTACCAGCTGCAAACCAAATGTACTTTATTTTTTCCATGGTTTTCTTTTGTCGAGCGAGCCAGTATAGGTGCTTATTCATCGAGGTCATCTCCTCGCTGAGATAGATACGGTGGCAGTCATTTTCCTGCCATTCTATTTCCCGCGTCGAGAAGTCCCTTTTAATTTTTTGCTTCTGCACCAGTTCGCCCCTTACTGACTGCCTAATAAACCGCGCGATAATAGGCAGCGGCTGTGGGTCGTCATTTCTGGGTCTGCGGCGCTGCACAGTGTCCAGATCTTCGATATTGAACTTGATGCCCAGGCTGGCCCCTATACTTGTAACCAGGGCTGTGGGGGTCTCACCCGCTCGAACCCGGATGCCCCGAATCTTGTGCGACCTTCTTAGCAGGCATTGTTCAGTTTTATTTAGTCTGACCTCTAATTCACCCATCCTGATAAGGTGGTAACATAACATATGTTCTGAACTTCTTAATAATTTCTCAGAAAACAGTTTATAATCTTTTTTTAACTTTTCTTTGTTTATTTTAATAAAGGTTAATCTTTATTAAAAAAGTTGCATATTGTCTAAACAAACAAAATTAAATTGCTGACAAATAATAATTATACTTCAGATTTGTAAACTTTAAATTGCTCTTCTGAAATCAAGTTAGTTCTACCTGAACACCATTCAAATGGCATGTCTACTTGTTAATTTGATTGATGTTTATGTGCCCAAAAAGTTTGCTGTTATTATTTTTGGATTTATGTATTTAAATGAACAAATTATATAATTTATGATTATATTAATCAATGAACTTTAGCCAGTCATAGTTTATTAAGAACTTATTACAAGACTTGTTATTCCTAAGCAAGATGAAAATTTTATGTAGTTGAACTGAAATTAACGGGAAGGCCACATTGTTTGTCTATCTAACCATTTGATATGATATACATATTTATATTTTTTAAAAAATCCATTATACTTACAATTTGTTTTGCGTTTCAGGTATTCTATACTTAAACATTTTGTCGTAATCCAATGAATGTCTCATCAATGAAAACAATGAAATTCGCTAAGCAAGAAGTCAGTGATAGAGATAGTAAATCATCTGAGAGTGACTTTGATGAAGATGATGATCCAGACAAAATTGAAGTACCAGGTATTTAGAAGGAATTCTTGATAAAATATCGGTTATAATCTAGTTATGTTTTTTATTTCATCTCTAGGCTCACTATTTGGAATCATGATGTAGTAAGACAACTTTTATATACCCTCATTTCTACTTACATTTGGTTTAAGATTAGTTACAGTTTTTTAAGCCTGATTCTTGTGTTATCGTTTTCATTATGGTTTTTTTTGGGGGGGGGGGGAGGGTTGGCCACCTTGCTAAGAAATAAAATTTATTAGAAGTAAATTAGAGCTTCAACAAATGTCAATGGGAGTTTATGTACATTATTTGAAAGGTTTACGATCAAAGGTTCTAAATTTGATGGAGGATAGATTTGACTATACCCAAGACTCTAGACTTTTTTAAATATATATATATATATATATATATATATATATATATATATATATATATATATTAATTCTTGCAGTTCTTTATCTCTACTTGATTTTTATTTGTAAAAAGATTTATTTTTTTATTGAGTATATCATTTTAGTATATTTGTATTGTCAATAGTAGTTACTAACTACTAATTAGATTATTAACAGTGTATTATTTTGTGGGAGGAGAACTAGGACTGGATTACTTGAAACAGGAATGATTCCAGAAATGGTTATGTTAAATAAGGTGAATAGAGCCATATTCATTCTGAATAAAATACTATAGTGAATGTATCGATGAGATTCAAAGATAACTAAAGCTCAGCTCTCAATTTAACTTTTATCCATTCTGAAATTTTAAGAAAGTTGTCTTTGATAAAGTAATTTAAAAAAACATTGTCTTATTTAAAAACTTCTATAAATGCTTCAATATTACCATTTTGCAAATATAATTAATGTTTTATTTAATGATAATTTTAGCCTTTTAAACATATTATTTATATTCTTGAAAAAAAAATTATTTTATTCTGTAATGCTTGAATAATGAAATAAACAAATATAAAAGAAAATAATTAAATATATATATATTTTTTAAATTTCAAGGTGGAGGAAAGGATCTTGCTACTGCCTTTGCCATTACTCCTCAGGCTGAAAGTAAACAACTGAAAGATGCATCTATCAACAATTTAAAACCAAGTTAGTTTTAATTTTATTCAGTTATTATTATTATTTTTTAAAATTTTTTATCTCATTTGCATTGTACATATGTGTTATTAATATTATTTGAAAAAGAATCTTTCTTACAAAAGATTTATCCTTTATAATGGAAACAGATTATCTGTGTTCACCTGTCAGGAATTTGTTAATATTCACCGTGAATTTTGCAAAACTCATCATTAGTTCTAAACAGTAATTTCTTCCTTTAATTTTCATGAACTGTGGGATGTCTATAATTATTTTATTCTAATATTAGTCGTTTATATTGTAATTCTCAGAAGGCTAATTAAATTAATCCCTAATTTTTGCAACACTAATTAGGGATTCTTCTATTGGCGATTTCGGTATTATGTACCACTACTCATTACTTTTTTATTGGACCTTGTTAGTTAGATTCAGAAATTTCCTTGGAAATATTCAAATTTCTTTTCCCCTTTTATTAAGTTTTAAACAGTAATGTTTATTTCTTAATTTTTAACTGTTCTGTTTTGTTAATACATGAAAACATGCTCTGATGAAGTATATAAATAAAAATGTTAATCATTAAAGTTAGCCATTAAAACAAAATTTTAGATCATCCAAAGACAAGTGTTGGTACCTCAGACGTTGATCTTAGTTTAATCTGTCCGAGTCAACAGCACTTACATTACAGAAAAACAAATGTACAAATTATAACTCTGCAATAATCAGGAGAACTAAATATGTAAATGTTTAAATAAACAACTACATCATATACATCTGAATATTTATTTATGCAAATTTTTTTATGTACATTTTTGACACAATAAATTCTGAAAAAGCAATATGATGATATTCAATGTAACTTATATTACAATTAGTAATTGTCCTTCAAAAAATATTTGTAACTTTTACGCTTCAACAAGATCCAACATTCAGTGGCATACCTAGACCATAAAGAAATATTTTAATTTAAAGAAAAAAAAACCTACTGTAGCGCCCGGGATAGATCACCTTCTTGGGGCACTGCTGCCAACATTGAGGAGAAAAGAAGTTTTCTCCATCTAAGGCTCACTTATTTATTTTCTGTAATGAATATTATTGAGGATGATAACTTTTGAAGATATATAGCAAATTTAATTTTGTTTAAAATTTTACGCACCACATAATGCTTGAAAATATTCATTTTCAGGAGGAGGAAACTGTAATGCATGATCTGTGAACCTCAGAAAAATACTTTTGATATCATCTTAATAACAATGAATTTTTCTATAGAAATAAATAGTTTATAAAGCTGTTTCCATTTATGTTGTGGATGAAATTATAAGATGTCTATGCTGAAAAGAAAAATTAAATTGTTCCTAAATTTTATAAAATGAATAAAAGCTGTATTATTCATCTGGTTAAATGCCAGATTTTCTATTGATAAAATGCTAGGTTTTGAATAGAAGATAATTAAAAGTATACTTCTTTTATATTATTATTTATTTCTAGGTGTTAAATTTATAAATTTTAAATATAATCAAGTATAAACTAATTTAAATTGTTGGTTTATTGCAGAAAATCATTAAATAACATTCATCGTCATCATAATCCTTTCCCTCTCTACCACTGCGCAGTGTGGGGATGTCCTTTATAGAGCTTGACCCATGTGTCCCTTTCTTATACCAGCTCTCTCCTCCTGCTCCAGTCCAGCCCTCGCTTCCTGAACGCCTCCCGCACGCCTTCTTCCCAGGTGATCCGTGGTCTTCCTCTTGGTCTTCTACCATCCACTCTCGTCTCATACATTATCCTGGCCGTTCTCTCCATGTTCATTCTTAGGAGGTGCCCGAACCTAAGTTTATTCTCTTCCAGAGTGGTTTCTATGGGCTGTACCTCGCGGTTTGATCTTATTGTCATGTTGCGGATCCTATCTCTCCTGGTCTTTCCCTCAACCTTTCTTAGGTACCTCATCTCCATTGTCTGGATCTGCCCCTTGTGTTTTGAGGTAAGGGTCCATGATTCGGAGGAGTAAGAGAGGATGGGCAGGAACGTTGACTTGTAGACGGATATCTTTGTTTTCTTCATCATTTCTCTTTAGTTGAGGAAACCTTTCCGGATTGGGTGGAACATTCTTCCAGCTGCTCCCAGCCTTTGCAACACCTCTCCATCGATATAGCCACTTTCGTTGATGCTTGCACTCAGATATTTGAATTCTGCACCTGTTCCAGGATTTGTCCTTTCAACCTCAATGTTCTCATAACTCGGCGGGGTTATGAAAGAAGAGTATGAAAAGTAGGGCACTTAGGCTGCACCCATGCCGTATTCCCTACGTCGTTTCAAACTCCTTGGATGTATGGTTGTCAATCCTTATAATATTTCTGGTCTTTCGATAGAGACTCCTAACAGCCAGGATCGTGCCAATTTCAACTTGTCTTTCAGACAGAGCTCGCTCTATATCCTCCTTTTTGGCTCTGTCAAATGCCTTTTCAAGATCCATGAAGCAGACAGAAAGTTCTTTCCCTTTTTCGATGGACTTCTCTATGATCTGCCTCAAAGTGAATATCAGGTCCTATGTACTCCTCGAGTTTATGAATCCATACTGCTCCTCTCCAATCTGGCAATCGACTACTCTTCTTACTCTTGTTTCAAGGATTCTTGAATAGAGCTTACTTGGCACATTGGCACATCGAGATATGCCTCGATGATTATTGCATTCTCTATTGTCTCCCTTCTTGTAAACAGGCACTACTACAGCAATCTTCCAGTCATTCGGTATCCTTTTCTTATGCCAAATCAAATTTAAGAGATAAACATTTCTTGACCTTTACTGCCCATGTACCGCATCATTTCGGGAGTTATTTCATCAAGCCCAGCAGATTTGCCCAGCTTCATCTTAGAGATACCTTCCTACAGTTCTTTCTCACTGATAAAATCATCTTCCGAATACTCCATCTGCGCATTGTGGATCTCATCCAGATCAACGTTTCTTCCCTCCAGCAGCTCCTTGAAATACTCTCTCCATCTTTCCATTATATCTTCTTCCTGCCATAAAATCCTTCCTTCCTCATTTCTTTTATGACTTTGTAGAAGATCTTTTGGTTCTCTTTTGCATTTTTCTCCATTTTGTGACCAAACTCTTCCCATGATTTTTGTTTGGCTTGAAGAACTTTTATCTTGGCCTCGTTCCTTTGTTCCTTGTACTTTTCATACCCCCTCCATGGAAGTCCCTCCATGCTTTCTTCTTTTCCTGAACTTTCTTCTTGACATCATTGGTCCACCAAGGACTTCTTTTAAACCCAGATCCTGCCCTTTTCTCTTCGCATACCAGTCTAGCAGCATCGAGAATCATTTTCTTGAATGATGACCAGCTCTGCTCTACGTCATCACTATCCCATGGGTTGTTAGACTCTCTTGCTATCTTATTTATTTCTTCTTGGAAGTATTGAGCCATTTCTTCTTCTTTTAGCCTGTAGGACTTTATTATCTTTTATTTTATTTATTTATTTTTTTTTTTGTTATCCTTCTTATTGTGCCTTTTCCGAGAAGTTTCTTCATTCTATAGTCTGTCCAGCCCCAGGAGGTAGTGATCTCTTCCAATCTCAAACCCTCTCTTGACTCTTGCATCCATTACTTCGCCAACCTCTTCTTTTCTTATTAGAAATCTATTACTGATCTTTCACTTTTTCCTGGCTTCTCTCTGGTGAACCCATGGGTTTTTCTATGTGGGAAGAGAGTGTTTGCGATTCTTAATGCATTTCCAACACAAAAACTGAGAATTCTTTCGCCATTATTGTTGACACTGCATTTGCCAAATTTTCCAACGACTCCATCCCACTTTTCCTTCTCATTGCCTACCCTGCCATTTAAATCTCAAAAAATCATTGGGGTGCCTTCACAATCATCAACTTCCCTTTGCAGGTCATGAAAGAACTTTTCTTTTTCATCATGCCTAGCATTATCACTGGGACCATATGCTACTATAAGGGAATGTATTTTATCACCTTCCAGGATATACAAAACCATTATTCCATCATTCACATATTTCATCCCTCTGACTGACAAGCATAAGTCATTGTGGTATAGAAATCCTACTCCATTGGCCGCCCTCTCGTTTTCACTGACACCCGAGAACAGAAGAGTGTAGTCCAGTATTTTGATTTCTCCATTGCCTTTCTTCTTTTTTTTCTGTAATCGCAAGGATATCGACCTTTGCTCTCTTCATTTCTTCTACCAGTTCACACTCCTTTCCATTCAGGCCATGTACATTCCAGGTTGCAAGTCGAATAAACCGTTTTCCACGCCGTGTCGAATTCCACAAAATCAGTCCAGCTCTATTTCTTATATTGTTAGTGATTTGATTAATTTAAGGAGAGTGGGCCTACTACTCCCGAGTCAGGTGGAGGGATTGCCTCCTCATAGCTTCCTGGCAAGTTTCCCCATCTGGGGCGGCTATATAGGGGAAGTGACCCTAGAGCGTGTACTGTAGTTGACCTTTGTCTGGAGTGTATGGGTGAGTGTAGTGTGCTGTATATTGTGTACTGTGTGAGTGTTAGAATTTTTGTTCCTCCAACCTGGAGGACCAGCAGCTGATTGCAGTATGACGACAGGGCGATGGGGTCGCTACTTCCCTATGCTGTTAAATAACATTTCATAAAATTAAACCACTCAGTACTTTGATGAATTTTCCCTTTGTGAAATCATAAGCTTGTCCACATAGTATAACTATATTTGATAAATATAAGGGTTTGCCTCATTTTGATCCACTCACTGTGTTGTTTTTTATTCATAAAAAAAATGAAAGTTCACAAAAAACGCTTAAAATTATAGCTCCTTGAAAATGTATTTAATGACTTTCTTCAATAAACCGAAGATACAAGTTGTGTAAATTGAGTAATGAGACTGATTTTCTAGTGTTCGATCTGGCATCCCTGGGGATGTGGCACGTGGATGGTTAGGCAAGTAAACATGTGATACGTGTCCAGTACAGGTTAGATTTGGACAGAGTGTAATGGAAACATCTGAAAAATTGCATTAGGCCT